CTATGATGTGAAGCTGATGATGTGCCCTGTAAACTTTCACTCAATCCAAAATAAAAACATTTAATAAAAAAAAAAGAAAAAAAAAAAGGAAAAAAAAATCCATTGAATACTTTGGTGTATTTGTCTCTGTAACCCACAGTTTTGTGTTTATTTGCCAACAGGTGGTGACATTTTCTCTCATCCTAGTGGTGTGGAAATTGCCACACGCTCCCTTGAACAACAACGGCTCTTGCCTGCATCTTCCAGTGTCTCCTCTGTCAGAGAGCCCACCAGAGTCATTCTTCCAGTGCTGGCCTTGAACTGAGTGAGAAGCGCCTAGCAGAGATGGTAAAGATGACAAAATCCAAAACCTTCCAAGCATATCTGCCAAACTGCCATCGTACATACAGCTGTATCCACTGCAGGGCTCATCTGGCCAACCACGACGAGCTCATCTCCAAGGCAAGTGCTGTGTCAGATGTTAAGGAAACACCATGACCACTAGCAGTGTTTGTCATCATGACTCCTTGTTAGTACATGAGTCTTTAGCCATAATGTGATTTCCACATGTGGTGCAGGGGAGATCTAAGCTTGCTGTTCTAAGAGTCTAAGCCTTCTGATTGAGTATGACTATACTTCAATTTTGGTCATGATCTCGGCACAAAGTGGGTGTTTTTGGTTCCTGGTCCTTCCCTAGTTAAAAATATTACCAAAAATATGATTCTGCCTGATAAAATATTAGATTCCAACGAAAACAATCTCTATATTGGTTCTTTTTCAGGGAAGGAAACTTTTTAGTTTGCTGGTTGCCAAGTTTCTGTGAGACTTGGCTTCAGAGCTCTGAGGCTCCGGGCTCAGGCAACACTGGTCAACTCAACCCTAAGAAGGGAGGGAAGCCACACCTTAACAGTTTTAGAAAGGCTGCTTCCTCCTCAGGATCCGCTAATGACAAGAGGAGAGGGAGGGCCAGTGGGGAGGTGCTCCAGGATGATGAAGTTGGCTAGGATAGGAGAAGCTGGAAGAGAAAAGGAGCTACATCGAGATAGCAGAGAGCAGAGAATAATCAAGTGCTGACAGATAGTCCCAGGGCTCAGGTGGGCCTTGAAGGAGAAGTGGTTTGAATCAAGGAGGCAGTGCTAAGGTGTTCAGGGTGAGGAAACCTGACTCCCCTCATAAGGGCTGCCTATGTACTTGAGAGTTGTATGTCTTGGTGATTTTCTGTTGGGATCTATTCTTCATGGGGTTTGTTCAGCTTCAAGAATGCTTATCTTCTCATCTTTCAGGATGTTAGGGAAATTTTCTTCCAGCAGGTCTTCAACTATCCCCTCTGTGGTCTTCTGTGATCTTTCCTGTTCTGGATCTCCAATAACCCTCAGGTTATTCCTTTTCATGTTGTAGACTTTCTTCAGATTTTTTCTTTCTTTTTTTGTTTGCTCTTCTATCTTAGCAGTATTGAGAGATTGCCTTCAAGCTTGCTGGTTCTGGCATCCATCTCTTCATTTCTGCTCCTTTGCTTTGCCCTTTTAGCATATTGTCCATTTCTGATATATTGTTATTAATCATTTGGACCTCTTTTTGCAGGTTTAAAATAGTTTCCAATGTTATTTCTATCTTATTTGATTGTTCTTACAGCACTTTCCTGACTTCCTTATTTTTCTCAACCCCTCTGTGGAGCATTTGGGTGTATTTCAGTATCATTCTCCTGAATTCCTTATCAGGCAATTCCAAAGCCCAACCTCCTTCCAATGGGAAGTGTACGTCTATCTCCAGCTCATTTGTTTTAGCTACTCATCTTGTTTCTAACTATGAGCTGAGATTTCCTGTTGCTTTTTGGGCATTTTCAATAATTAGATGAATATATGTTGGTGTATTATTAAACTTTCTGATTGCCTCCTGGTAGATGTGATCAGGAGACGGGCTTCCCTTTTCACTTCTCTTATTACTCCACTCAGAGTAATTTCAGCAAGTGTTGGCTATCTATCTGGTATTGACTCTTGCCTGGATGGTAGGATTTTATAGGGTGTGATTGTAGCTTGGCTACATGACCAAAATTACTGTATCTTCTTGGGTAATGTAGGGAGAGAAAGACCCTCCACCCAAGGTAAAAACAAAATAAAAAAACCCAGAATGGACACTAAAGTCTATAATCACCACACTCACATACACACACGAAAAAACACCAAAAACCATAGCCCATTTTTCAGCTTCTTGTCTTCAAGGCTGCCTTAGAAATTTCAAAAAATACCATTGCTCCTTATGACATAACTCAAGATTTAATTTTTGGCCTCTTTCTTTTTTTGGCTGTCTCTCTCCATCTCCTCAAGCCCATTCAGGTGTTTCTCCTAGTAAGAAACAGCCCAAGGCTGGCCAGAGCCAATTTGGGTGACCCTCCCATTTTCTTTGATTCTGGGCTTAGTGGTCTTTGCTGAGCAGATTCATGCACCTGTGTAGTAGAACCCTCTGGGGGCGGGGGGGGGGGAATGTCCACTTGCTCAGGCACCCTCTCAAGTCACCAGAGTGGAGGTACACAGAGACAAATGAGCAGATAAAAAAAAAAAATGTTCACACCTTTATGTCCGATGATTGGCCAGACCCCTGCGATGGGAGCACTGCCTTACTCTAGTATCAGCTCTGTCCCACTCAAGATGGCTGCTCCAGGACCCACTGGAAGCCACAGATCAGGAAACACTACATTTCTTACTTATGCTACCAATTCCACTAGCGACCCTTCTAAATATTCCTTTATATCTAGTTCAGAGTTCCAGGACCATCCCCTGAAACCGCTTCATCCAGTATTCCGTGTTATTACTGGTAGAGGTTTACATGATGCCTCTCCCTAATCCACCATCAAGCCCTGAATCCTGCCTTTTCCTTTGGATGTATTTAGATGGAAAGGTGTGGAAACTTGCCCTTGTTTAATGCCCCTTCCCATTCCCCCCCCCCCCAAGAATGATGTATCTGAACTGCTTTAGAATGGGGCAACAGGAGAATTTAAAGAGACTGGTGGGTTTTCAGGTGAAGACCACTTCTTTTATATCTCATTTCCTGACCCTCTAGTTGGGTGTAGCTCTCTGGGCCAATAACATGCACCCTTTGAAGCTGGTTTTTTTCATTTAGAATTAGGTGCAGGTTAGCAGAGCAGATTTTCATTCAACAAATCATACACATTTTGTCTCATTTCATTGCTATTCCACACTGAAATATCCCCTATCCCACTTTGTCCGTTTCCATTCTTCCTCCTTTCCTAATCCTTTCTGCCTCCTGAACTTTGTCTTTGGGTGAATGTGGCCCCTGTTGATTATTCTAAAAGCATACCTTTCTAGTATTATTATTCCCTTTATAGACCTATTTGGCTGAAAATTGAACTCACAGGGTGAGTTCAGTTCCAGACCTGAAGGGTAAGAAAGGCAACAGTTTTGGGGTGAAAGCTGGCTTCATGATTTTGCATGGCCGGCAGAAAGTTGAGGCTGGTGCAGTCAGCCATAGCACTATGCTTTTCCACATAATGGCCACTCCTGTTAGATCAGGGTTGCAGGGTGGTGATGCAGTCTCTGCTCTTTTATAACTTCTCCCAGTGGAGCTCATTTGGACACTGAGTAAGCAGTCCCACTGGGGGCTCCATGGCAGGGTTACTTCCAGGTCATCCTCTGGGAAGGACCTTCCCATGAGGTGACTGCCTCTGGGAAGGACCTTCCCATGAGGTGACTGCCTCTGGGAAGGACCTTCCCATGAGGTGACTGGGGGCTCCATGGCAGGGTTACTTCCAGGTCATCCTCTAGGAAGGACCTTCCCATGAGGTGACTGCCCTGAGCCTGGACCCCAGAGCCCCTAGGCCTTTGGTGGCTGATTGTGGCCCCCACCCACAAGATGCTGTGTCACATAGAGGTCCATTCCAAAACACACAGGTCATAGCCATGTTTCATGTCACTGTCAACAATCTTGTAATAAACTTTTCTTCCTCATTGCAGTCTTTCCAGGGAAGTCAAGGACGAGCTTACCTCTTCAATTCTGTGTGAGTACTGTGACTGGGAATGGTACAGACAGGCTGTAAAGCCATTTAGTTGACCAGTTATTCAAAGCTGGACTGGGCAGTTAGACCCCACCAGTGAGGCCGATCAGAGTCCTGGGAATTCCATGAAAGCCTAATTCTTTTACCTGATATTCCATCTTTCACAGTCATTTTGGTTTCATTGTTTTCTGCATGCAGTAGGCTTTTGTGTTAGTATGCTCAGTAGAGATGCCCTAGTAACACAGTAGTGGTTCAGTCTTCCCAGGAGAGAGGCAGTCTGCTCCCATAAAGATTTGTAGTCTAAGAATCTATGGACACTGTGCTCTAAGGCGTCACTGAGTAGGGACTTGTTGGCCATGAGTTCTTGGTTTACGCTTGACAGGTTGGTAGACATCTCCTTACAGCCAATCTCAGCATGGGAGTCTCATGGGGAAATGAAGAGTTTGATCTTACACAATGGATACAGGGTAGGGGAGGTGGGATATTAAGAAGAAAACTGCTGACCTTTGGAAAGTTCCACTGTCTAGTAACTGATTGGCTCTAGAAATTAATGCCTCCTGGTTGATGGCAGGTGAGAGCAGGTGGCGCCCCTGCAGGCTGGGGGAGGAAGTGCTGGTATCTGCCTGATTCCTAGGACCATCGTGACCTTCTTCCCTGTAGGGTGAACGTGGGCTGTGGCCCTGCCGAGGAGCGCGTCCTGCTCACCGGCTTACATGCTGTCGCAGATATCTACTGTGAGAACTGCAAAACCACTCTGGGCTGGAAATATGTGAGTCCCCATCTGACTGGCAGTGCATCTCAGAGCGCCCCTATCTAGTGTCCTAAATGATATCTGTCACAACTGGACAAAAGTAACATGCTCGAAGTGTGGAGAAGTGTAACTGTCAATGAGCTCATTGCTTACAGTAGAATGGAGGTTGTCAAATGTGTGATCCCATGGTGAGCCCTGGAGGCACAGTGGGTTAAGTGTTTGGGCTGAGAACCAAAAGGTCCATGGTTTAAAACCCACTACAAGCTCAAGCTCTGCAGGAGAAAGATGAGATTGTATACTCCTGTATATATAAAAAAAACCCCACTGGGACAGTTCTACTTTGTCATATAGGGTCACTATGAGATAGCAGCAGCTTTGCTTTCATTTTTTGATTCCCAAACACACCTGCATTTTTGTAAACAAAACCAGTGTCTAGTTAAGGGTGCTGCCCAATTATCAATAGCCACTGCAGTCCCACCCCTGTGGCCTGGACTCAGCCACACTGAGTGAGGAGGTAGCCCCAAAGTCCAGTGGTCAGGTTCATCCCTCATTGAGAAAGACACCATGGCCAGGCCTTCAGCATGGTTACTTTGTAGTAACAATTCCAGCAGGTTCTTTTCACTTCCTTCTCCCCATTCTTCTGCATCTGTTAGCAGCCTAGTGCCACCAAGATTCCTTTCTTTGCCATGAGGATTGTAAAACTGAACAGTTAGGTAGATTCTGCCCTGAAGCCTTTTCTCTTTCTTTTTTTGTTTTCAAGGAACATGCCTTTGAGAGCAGTCAGAAATACAAGGAAGGAAAGTTTATCATTGAGCTTGCCCACATGGTCAAAGACAATGGCTGGGAATAGACTGAGGCCTGCCGAGCATCTGAATGCTGTTCTGTCAGAAACTGTGACGGTCACGAAGACCCGGGAGCATTCTGCACAACACTGTTTCTCCAACTTCACACCTTACAAGCATGCTGTGGTGCTCTTAATGTAGAAGGCCCTGCACAGTGGCCAGCTCCTTGGGTAAGGCCCACCCTGTCTGTTCTCTTCATGGACAAGATTGTTACTGAAGTTTTTCAATGAGCTTTTTCTAACTTCTCAAGTTCTAGAGAAAGAATTAACCAACTGATGACATACCTGTTGAGTTAGTGTCTTCTTATAACTCATGCCTTTAACATGGACTTTGGCTGTGTGTCCTTATAGAAAAACCAAACAATCTCTAGCATCTGTAGGGCAGGACCCCTTTTCCAAGTATTGTAACTTTGTAAATAATTTATTCACAAAAGCTACACGTTGCTTGTTCCTCTTGCAGATAAACTGTTAGAAGCTCATTTAGGAATCTCCTGGAGAAGTCGATGGATTTGTTCGAGTGTTTTTTAGCCTTGTTCACAGAGGTCAGGCCTGGTAGCAAATTAGGTATGTAAGCCACAAAGAAGGGTAACTGATAGGAACGCTTCTTTAAACCACTGGATTACTGAGCAGGTAAACCAGCAGCAAGACATCTGTTTCTGTGGTTCCTGGTCCCTTGCCCACAGTGGCTCAGTGTTGGTGATTGCTTTGTCGTGTGTAATTGTGCTTCACACACCACACAGAGCTTGTCAGTTTCATACTCTACTTGATGTCCCTGAAGACAAGGTAGTTTTTTGCTTATGGAAAATGCCAGGGCCAACAGGAAGAACTTCAGCTTGAGATAGAAAGCTGTTCTCGAGATTGGTCTGGTGGTTTTAGAGTTGTTGAGAAAAGATTAAAATTACAGAAAAGTGTGAATTCTGTAAGTGATGCTGTCTGGTTAGCTGGACGAGCTGTGTGGTCACTCCTCACACCTGGCTGTGCTGAGTGGAAAATTTTACAGGGTGCTGTTGGCCTGTGGTGGTGGGGCCACTGCAGGATGCCACTCCACTCGGTGGCAGATCTGAGGTGGAGGTCAGGATACTTTCCAGCCTGCTTCATAGCTGAAGGATCCACCAACAGGACATAGAGAGGCAGGCGACCCAGAAGGAAATGTAGCTATTTGCCAAGCAGGAGGAGAGAGCAGTGTCCCCAGGAACTGAGGCAGAGCGGGTCACAGTAAAAGAATGGCCTGCAGTCTGTGTGGTTGTCCCTGCCAACTCAAACTCAGAGCAGGACTGTGTGGGTGCTGGTGCCATGCTGGCTTGGCCTCTCATCCCTGCAGTTCACGTCTGGGGCTGTCTGTCTCACTAGGGACCCAGCAGCCTTGCAGCACAGCCCTTGATGGCAGGCATAACAGAGCCCATTCTGGCTCTGTAGGTGGACATTGGGCTAGGTTCCACATAATCCTTTGCAGATTGGGCCTCTCCTAGCAGTCCTTTTTTTTTGTCCCAGTCATTTACAGCTTTTAGAGCATGCATTTACTCAGCCAGTGGCATTCTGTGCCCAGGTCTGAATCTGAGAATGCTTCATATGGGACTGCCACATGAAGGCGCAAACCCTGGCTTCAGTGCTTAGTTAAAACTTGATGTTCTAAGACATCTCAGTTGAATACTAGTGGTGGCTGTTAGGTGCCATCATGTTGGCTCAGTAACCCTGTGTACAATGGAATGAAACACTGCCTGGTCCTGCACCAGCATCACAATTGTTGCTGTTTGAGCCCATCTTGTTGAGGATTTTCATTTTTCCCTCTCCACCAAACATGTCTAGGTACTTAGCTTAATTGAGAATTTAGCTTAAGCTAGCCTTCTACTTTCTCAGTTCACTTTGACAGGTGGGAGCTCAGCCTGGGCCATGCTGAAGGCTGAGCCCAGGGATAGGGGCAGGTTGACACCAGGACGCTGGGCGGGCAGAGAACCTGAGCTTTAGACCTCTGCTCTTACATCAAAGAGAACCTTTTGTATATACTAAAATTTATATTTTAAGTTTTTTATCTTCTGGGTACGTTTATAGCTCCTCTTTTGAGCACTTTGTTGGGTTCTTATACTGTGTTGTCTTTTGTGATGGTATTTAAAGTTTTTACTAGCGGTCTTAGTACTTATTTCATATATATTTTTTGTAATTGACACCAACAAAGCATTTTATCAATTTTGTGTTGGTTTCCTGTACATTACAAGCCCCTTTTCATACCAAATGAACTTACCGTGAGCTTCAGGGTAGTGATGTGCTGGTAAACTCTTGGAATGGTCCACCTTCTTAAATTCCTCAATAGTGAATTTTCATCTTCTAAATTATTTGAAATATTTTTCCTTAAGACAGTGGGAGGTGATGCCTGTGTTACAAATCTGAGAGTAAATCCAAGATTATAGCTACTATGCTCCCAGTTTTTTGTGTGTGATCAGTGGAGGGGTGCAGACAAGTTCTCTCAGTAAGATACTCCTTAAGAGTGCCTTCAAAAAACAAATCCAATCACAACAGTGACTTCCAAGGGGATCTGCTGGGCCAGTGCAATTCAAAGCTCAGAAGGTTATGGGGACTTTTTTGGGACTCCAAAGGGATCATCTTGACACAATTTCTCTAAGGACACAGGATGATCTGGGCACTTGCTAGGAAGTTTTCAGAAAATGTAAACCTGAACTGGTAAGACTAACACCAGGAAAGTTTCATTATTTTCCCAACAATACACTGTTCTTTTCAGGAGTAGCAAGCCCTATTCTACGAGAATTCTGTTGGAAAACTTTACCCATCCAGTCTTCAGCCCTGATCTTGCCCCTTCAGGCTTTTTTTTGTTCTCCAAACTAGAACATTTAAAAGGAAAATTATTCCAGTCCCTGCTGTTTTGAGGTGATGTAAATCCAAGAGCACACATTTCTTCAGGGAAGAGTTAGATAACGCCTTCAAAAGTGTATAGATCTACATGTAGAACAATTTAGAAACAGTAGCTTAATATTTTGTTATTTTTGCTAATAAGAATTTTCTGTGATTTTATGACTAAACTTTTGGATTTACCTTCATATTAGGGGGACGGCGGAAGGGACTTCAAAAAGTTTGTGTAACTAAACACAGCCTAGGACCGTGTTCTGACAGAGTGGATTGGTTTTATATACACATTGTAGATATATATATATATATATTTAATCTTAGCACTTATTCTTGATGACATTCATCAGGTATCAGAAAGGTTCAGAAATGGGAGTTTTCTCAAAAGCCCTTTATCAGGTGCTTACAAAATCAAAGTGATTTGATATTTAGAAAACTGTGACTTATGGTCTGCCAGGAACTACAAAATTTAGATCCTGAGCCTTCAATGCTTAGCCCTGCATGGCACATGTGGGTGGGGCCCCTGGAGGCTCGCCTCCGGAGCAGAATGGGGAGCTGGGGTACAGCTGCCTCCAGTGCAGCCATGTTGCCAGGCCTGTGGTCCTTATTCTACAACTTTCCAGGGGGGTGGTGGTCTTGTGGAAATAGCCCTACCCTGCCCTACTGCTGCCCTGTGAAGCCGGGACACTCCTCTGCAGGGGCCCAGCAAGCATCTTACTGGGTCCATCTCAGAAGCACTACCTCCAAGGGAGCTTCTTAGAGTCACCAAGAGTCTAAACAAAATATGTATCTGACTGGCCCCTTTAGCTCTCATTCACGCTTCTGAGCTATTGTGCATGCCTGGCCCACAACTCTGCTCTTGTCTAGCCTCTGAGCCATCTCCCATAGGGGTGAGTTATCCACGTCTGTTTGCAGGTGGTCCTTCAAGTCCCTGAGGATATGGGGGTATCAGGGCTGGGAAAAAATGGCACAAGAGCCAACAGTCTGGAAGCAAATGTCATCATGCACTTCAGTTTAAGGTCTTAGTGGGAAGGAAAGGAGAAAACCAAGGAGTCACACCTCAGCTGGCAGACAGTGGTAAGCTTCGCTGGTGGTTGGACAGCCCAGGATGGTGAGACCTGTTGCCATGGAAGGTTTTCAGAGTCAGGAACTGACTGGGGTAAATAGGGCCTGAGATGACCATAGGGTGTGGAAGCCTGGCCTGAGGAAGCTCTCAGCACCAGGGAAAAGCTTTAATGAGTCTCTATGGAACAGCAGCCTTCAACACACAGGCTCTGAGTTGACTACCATGAGCTGAAGTCCCCAAAGCCACTGCTGGGCCTCTTCTTGGCTGCCGGGGTGGCTGTGCTGGTGGATAGCTCATCCTGCGCTGCCCGTTTCCTGTGAAGACAGAAATTGACTGCACTATTGTTCAAGATACCCAAGCCCTCAGGACGGCAGCGGGTACAAGTGTCCACATACACTCCAGCTAGCCTCCTTGCCCACCCCTGAGAGATCAGCCCCACTCACGTGGCTTCGGGGCTAATGTACTTGCCCACCCCCTGGCGGTATGCTTGGGGTCCTGGGCTCCCCAACTGGGGCGTGGTTGTCTTCATGGTCTCTGGAGCTGCTACTCTCAGCTGTGTCTTCTTCCTCTCCTCAGCAATCTGTGGGGAGGGGGTGAGCTAGGTCGAGGTGCCAGGCAGCACCTCATGGGACAACTCAGACCATAGGTGTGCATGTCCCACCCCCATCCCTATCATGAGAACAACTCACACACAGGCCCTCTGAAAGTGGTAGCCCTAAGCCCCTCACCTGAGCATCAGCCTCTTCATAGGGGTCCACAAACACAGTGGTGGACTCGATTTGGATCTCTTCCTGGGGAAGGGGAGGAGTGGTCAGGCTGGCAGAGGCAGCAGGCTCCTCCACCTTCTCCCTTGGGGCCCACTGGCCATTCTAGCACACATACCTTAGGGCGGTCAGTTTTGGGGTCACTCTCCACATTCTCCATGGCTGTCAATGTGTCAAATCCCCCAACAACCCTGTAGGAGGGAAGAAACAGGACTGATCAAAGCACCCCCCACATGCACACACCCCAAAGCATCCACATGGGCAGGGCTGGGTAGGGTGCATTACAACCCCACTACCATCAGCTCTGGTGCCTAGTTTGGCTCCTATGTTTGTAAATAAAGTGTTATTTGGACACATGTGATCTGGGCTGCTTCCCTGCTAGAACAGCAGAGGTGAGTAGTTGTGATCGAGACCAGAAGCCCTTAACAGAAAAATGTACTCAACCTCTGGACTAGAGGAAGAAAAAATAAGGTGGTCTGGGAGGAAAGGGATGCTGGAACTGAGTCTCAGCTGGCTCTCAGCAGCACCCACAGCAACCTGGGTAGAGTGGGCCTTGAACCATCATGCAGCTTCTCTTACCGCCCAAAGATGGTATGCTTCTTGTCCAGGTAGGCACAGGAGCGGAAAGTGATGAAGCTGAGGAGAGGAAACAAGAAGGTGAGGAAACACTTGGGACCTTGTGCAGGCTGCCTGGGCTCTCCCACACCCTAGAGCCTATTCTGGAACCCAGAGCTTACACTTAGCTGGGAAGGTTACCAGGTACCCAAAGCCTTGGAGCAAATCCAACAATGGGAGGTTCCCTCTGGTTCCTCCAGCTGAGCCCCAAGCAATGACTATGAGGATGACATAGGACTGGGCAGTGTTTGGTTCTATTGAGCTTCTGGATCAAATTTTGGCAAAACAGAAATGATCTAACTGATCCTTGACTGATGGACTTGAGAATTGTCCTGAACCAGAAAGGCTTCTTAGTCAGTGGCCAGGTGCCACCAAGTTCCAACATGCAGCTAGCACTAATGTAATTAAAACTCCCAGATCACATAAAGACAGCCAACCCCTAGTCACTGTGTGCAAGCAACATGGGTCTAAACCAAAACCATATGAAGCCAGTACTAACACAGCATCCAGCTCCCACATGACAAGAGTAGAAGCTACAGGTGCAGCCCAGGAACAATTGTGCTACAGAATGGAAAACCCAGTCCACCCATGGGCCACATCCACAGATCCAAGAAGGAATCCACCTATGATGATAGGTACCATCTAGCTGGTTCTGACTCATACTGATCCTGTGTACAATAGAACCAAACACTACCTATCTTATGTCATTCTCAGTAGTTGCTATGATTGAGACCATTGTTGACACTAAGTCAATCCATCTCGAGCATCTTCCTCATTTCACTGATGCTCTACCAAGCATGATGTCATTCTCCAAGGACAAGTCCCTCCTGATAACATGTCCAAAGAACCTGAGATGGCATCACTTCTAAAGACCATCTGGCAGTACTTTATCCAACACAGATTTGTTCTTTCTTCTGGCAGTCTACGGTAGTACTTTGAATATTCTTTGCTAGCACCATATTTCAAATGCAATGGTGATTCTCCAGTCTTCCTTATTCATTGTCCAGCTTTTGCATACAAATGAGGCCAATGAAAATACAATGAGTTAGGGCAGGTGCATCTTAGTCCTTGAAGTGACATCTTTGTTCAACACTTTGAAGCAATTTTTTTGCAGCAGGTATAACCAATGCAATGCAGCAATAGAGTTCTTGACTGCTGCTTTTATGAGCATTGATTATAGATCCAGATAAAATGAAATCATTGACAACTTCAATCTTTTATTTATCATGATGTTGCTTATTGGTTCAGTTGTGAGAATTTTTGTTTTCTTTGCATTGAGCTGTAATACATACTGAAGGCTGTAGTCTTTGATCTTCATCAGCAAGTACTTCAAGTTCTATTTACTTTCAGCAAGCAAGGTTGTGTTATCTGCATATTGGAAGTTCCTTCTTCCAATCCTGATGCCACAGTGTTCTTCACAGTCCAGCTTAGTATTTGCTCAGTATACAGACTGAATAATACCAGGAGGCTTCCATCTTCTCTTGATGCTTCCTATGTTGTTCAATATTTTGCCATAAAAATCTGTAAATATTTTCTTTACTGTATTTTTAATGACCTTTTGCTTTATGTATGAGGGGTCTTCAAAAAAACAGTGGATGGAAAAGTCCATTATCTTTTTCTTTTTTTAATGCTTTTACTATGAATTGAGTAATAGTTTACATGGCAGATCATCAGTTTTACACTTCACAAACCATTATTTTGTTTCATTGCAAAGATTACAATCATGCACCATTGGTTAACAGTATTTAATGCTATTCCTTTATTAAATGTACACAAAACACAGAAAATATATGTTTAAATGTCCAAAGGACACATTTTGCAAGCTCGCAGACACACAGCTATTCTCATTCCATGCACCTAGAGTCTCAACTGTTTGATCTCTCTGTGACATTGCCTGTACCTCCTTATCTCTGCTGTCACTGCTTTTCTGGTTAGGATCCCATGCTCCACTCATTCTCTTCCCTCTTGATGGTCCTAGGGTGCTTTGTTCCTGGAATGAAAGATTAACTAGTCCCTGCTTTTATTTTAGTTTCACCTCTTCTATATTTACAGTTGTGACAACTATGATTAGTCATGGTAAGAATTACTACTGAATAAAAACAAATCCTATCCCTGTCCTCCCTGATCTGGACAAGAGGAAAACTATCAGTGGGGATTGTACCATCCCTCTTGTTGTGAAACTAAGCACACTCAAGAAAGTTTGTAAGCCAGCCACTTTGTGCCTTTATAGTCTCCCGTTTTTGGTAGCCAACATCTAAGTACACCCAGTGTACTGAAGGGACAAGCTTGATCCTTGATATGAAGAATCCTTCCCTTTCAGTTAGAATTTTGAGCAATTACATCCATAAGCCAAGGTCCAGTTCATCAAACTGTAGTAGTTTACACTTGTTCCCTTTATAAAACTTCTTTATCTTCATGTGGTTTTGGTTTTTTTAAATGTTTTATTGTGAATTTTACATGTTTACATGAGACAACTTTAGTTTTACATTCATTCCATTGCCATGGTTCCAATCCCCTTCATGCATCATCAACCGACCAAAGGGTATGTCCTAGAAACCCGCCCCCTACTCTCCCTCCTCCCCGCCCAGTCTTCGACCCACAGGCCCTCTCTCTCTCTGGATCCAAAGTCCCCAACTGCTTCATCACTCCATGTCATCGTCTCTGTCTCCATCTCAGGGATCTGTGGTTCTCTGGGTAGGGTCCTGCTCTCGGCTCTTCTCCGTTGATGGTCCTAGAGACCTCCACTCCTAGACTGGAGAAGTAATTGCTCCCTTCCTTGCTATAAAACGTCTACTTTTGCACTTCCAACCCTCATAATCAGTCCTGATAACCATTATTCACTACAGTATCACGAGTTACCCATCTGTATTTCATTTTATCAGCTCCGCCTAGACAGACTGGATAGTACTCACTGGAGATTCTGCCTTCCTCCATGCCCCCTAGCTCTAGGTTCCCTCTTGAAAGCGTGTAAGTCAGTCACTTCTTGCCTTTGTAGTTCCCCTCTCCCCATTTGGGTATCCAATGTCCAAGTTGCCCATCTCTTCATGTGGTTTTGATCTGCAAGTGATCCAAGCTAGGTCAAATGGATACTATCTGCAAATTTGGAAGTACTTGAATGCCTCCCCTCATTTAGACCAGCTGGCCACTTTATTCTCAGCTCTAGCCCCAAGTAGCTAGGTCAGTGTCCATGGGTTCCAGAGTTTACACGTCTCCCTAAACTTCAGACCATCCAGCCCCTTCCTCTTCTCTCTCTCATCTCAAGATTGGCAGGTGTCTATGGAACACTGCCAAACTCAGCCCATATCTTCATTGCTGCATTTCCCCCATTTCCAATCACAAGTAGAGAGAATATAGAGAACTTTTGAAGCCCCTTCATACAGTTGCCCTTTAAGCTGCTGAAAATAGGTATTGCTGAATAAGTTATTGGTCTTATAAAATTCTGTCATGTGAACTCCAGAGTTATTTCTATCCTCTGTTTCAAACTTTTGCATTCTAGTCATCCATATTTATCAATGCACACTTGACTGCATGTTTGATCAATTTCAGACTGCAGAAGTTGGCAGAAATCTTCAATTTCCCTTATCTTTGGCTTTAGTGGTTGGTGTGTAAATTTGAATAATAGTGACATTTAACAGGTCTTCCTTGCAGACGTGTGGATATTATCCTATCACTGGAAGATCTTCAGGATAAATCTTATAATGTTCTTTTTGACAATTAATGTGACACTATTCTTATTCAATTTGTCATTCCCAGCATAGTAAACCATATATGATTGTCTGATTCAAAATGGCCAAAACCAGTCTATTTCAGTTCACTAATACTTAGGATATTGATCTTCATGCATTCCACTTTGTTTTTGACGACTTCCAACTTCCCTGGAGTCCTGGTGGGTGTTGTGTAGTATAAGCACTGGACCACAAAGTTGGTTTTAACTGCAAGGTTAGCAGATCCAATTCACCAGCTACTCCATGGAAACCCTATACAGGGTCACCATGAGTCAGACCCAATTGGATGGCACTTAACAACATACTTGGTACATTCCACATTCTAATTATTAATGGATGTTTGCAATTGTTTCTTCCCAGTTTGAATTATCCATCCACCTCATTAAGGTTGACTCTACTATGAGGAACAGAAGAAAGATGGGGCTTTCTGCTCCCATAAAGATTACAGCTTCGAAAACCCCATGAGTCGCTATGAGTTGGAACTGACTCCACACACACCACCTACTATGAGTGCCTTCCAACCATAGGGCTCATAATCTGGCACTATTATCAGAAAAATGATCTGCTGTGATTCATAAGGTTTTCAGTGGTGCATTTTTCAGAAATTCCTCTTTCCTAGCGTGTGTCTTGGGAGCCTGGTGACCTAGTGGGTTATGGGTTGGGCTGTTAACCCCAAGGTCTACAATTCAAATCTACCAGTTGCTCCATGGTAGAAGGATGAGGCTTTGTGCTCCTGTAAAGATTTATAGTCTTAGAAACACTATACAGGGTTGCTACGAGTTAGAACTGACTTGACAGCACTTAACAACAAGAGTGTGTCTTAGTTTGGAAGCTCCACAGGAAAACCTACTTGTATTTTAAATACTGGTGGCATATAACAAAAATTTGTTGTTGCATTAACCCACAGCACCACATCAGGACTCCGTATATATATATGTCTGTAACATGCCTACATATACATACATACACGTTGTTGTTGTTGTTAAATACCATGGAGTTGGTTCCGACTCATAGTGACCCTGCATAGGGTTTCCGAGGCTGTAAATCTTTATGGGAACAGAACGCCTCATCTTTCTCCTGAGGAACTGCTGGTAGTTTCGAACTGCCAACCTTCAGGTTAGGAGCCCAATCTGAAACCACTACGCTACCAAAGCTCTTTTATATATATTTCTAAAAATGCAATCTTGGTTTGGTGCTATAGGATAAGCACTGGACTGCTAATTGCTATGAGTCCATACTTAACAACAGAAATCTAAAAAATGATATTTGGTATCTTCCCAATTTAAATACTTGGAACACGGGTAGCTAATCTATAAAATTTTAGCCCAAAAAATGAAAACCATTTTATAAAAAATTAAGTGCCAACAAAACAGCATGTAGAATGGAACCAGTGAGATCATGAGCCTAAGACTATGTACTAAAGCCTGCCAAGGGAAACTGGAAACACAATTAGCTTGAAGACCATAAAAAGAGAAGTTAACCTGCACAACCTGCCCACACCAAACAGATTTTATAGGTGAATTCTATCAGACATTCAAACAAGAGATCACCCCACACTCTTCCAGAAAATAGGAAATGAGGCAAGGAAAATGTGATGTCACAACCAGTGATGGATAATACAAGAAAAGGAAAGGGAGGTCAATTGCACTTAGGATCACACACATCCAGCCCTTCAAAGGACATCCTAAGATATCACCTCTCAAAGGCTGGCTGGTCCGAAGTATGGTGAGACCTGGGGACTCCTGGGTTCATGGACAAGGACCTACCCATGGAGGGGCTATAGCTGAGAATGTAGCGTCTGATATGAGAAGTGAGGGGAGACACACAAGAACACCCAAACTTGCAGATAGTATCCATTTGACCTAGCTTCAATGGCTTGATGATCAGAACTCAACTAGAGGAAGATAAAAAGTTTTTGATAAAGGAAACAAATGTAAATTGCTAAAATTTGATGAACTTGACCTATACTTATGGATGCAGTAACTCAAAATACTAACTGAGAGGGAAGGAATCTTCACATCAAGGATCATTCCTATCCCCTATACAGAGTTGATAGGGATAGCAACTTAAATATTGGCTACCTAAAATGGTGGGGGGAGCAATAAAGGCACCAAGTCACTGGCTTACAAGTTTTCAAGAGGGAGTTTAAGAGTATGCGGGGGGTGGGGTAAAGAAAGAGTCCCCACTGAATAGCTACCATCTTGTCTAGATGGGTCTGGTGAAAGGAGATGGGGATACGATTCATAAGATTCAATAGTGAATAACTGTTGTCATGACTAATCACGACTGCCACACTTGTAAAGGTAGAAGTTTTGTAACAAAAGAAGGGGAGTGGTTAATCTTACATTACAGTCCAGAAAACAGAGGACCCTAGGACCATCAAGAGAGGAACGACAAAGAGAATGCGGGACCTTATCCAGAGAAGCAGCAGCGCCAGAGATGGGGACATGGAGAGTGGGAGCGGCTGAAGACTCTAGATTCATCAACTAAGAAAAGAAGGACTAAGAACTGGTGGCCAGAAGCAGACTTGCAGAATGTGCCCTTTGAAGATGTAAATTATTATATATGCCTGAGTGGGTTTTTTTGTTTTGTGTGTTTTTTAAAAAGCTAAAGTGGATAGAGAGAAATATTTTTAACTGATGGTATATGGAGGAGATTATAAACAATAATGTAATGAAACAAGTAATATGAGTTGTTGAATGTGAAACTGATGATGTGCCCGGTAAACTTTCACTCAATCCACAATAAAAACCTTAAATTAAAAAAAAACAGAGTGTGCGGGGGAAGGTAGAATCCCTACTGAATAGTTTTTATCTTGTCTAGATGGCTCTGGTGAAAGGAGATGGGGATCAAATTCTTACTCAGTAGTAACTGTTATCATGACTAATGGCAATTGTCACAACAGTAAAGGTTTTATAACAAAAAGGGGGAGTAGTTAATCTTACAGTCTAGGAACAGAGGACCCTAGGGCCATCAAGGGAGAAGAGCACAAATGAAATGTGGGACCCTATCCAGAGAAGCAGCCACACCAGAAATGGAGGCAGACATGAAGGCATGGAGAGAGAGAACAGCTGAGGACTCTAGACTCATGGAAAGAGAAAGGCCAGGAGGCAGACTTGCAGAATGTGCCCTTTGGTTGTTTAAATGACTATATATTCCTAAGTGAGTTTGTGTACATCCAAAAAAAAAAAACGCAACAGAAGCAAATATTGTTGAATGATGATGCACGGAGGGATTGTAATCATTACAATGAAACGAAATATAATGGGATGAGTGCAAAACCAATGTTCTCCCATGTAAACTATCACTCAATTCACAATAAAAACTTAAAATAAATTTTAAAAATGATATCACCTCTCCTTCCTCCTTAAACCTACACCTCATCCTTTATGCCCCACTGCTTCCTCCAGTCTTCCCCCAAACCTCCAACTTGGTAATCGTGGGCCTGGCCCATACCTCTTTCCCAGATTCCCCTCCTTGGTTCATGCGTCCTTCAACCTACAGTTTTCCTACCCACTGCTGCCAAGTCGATTTGATTTGGCTCATAAGGACCCTATTGGGCTGAGTACAAGTAATCCAGGGTTTCTGGACTGTCAATCTTTATGGAAACAGATAGGCTTATCTTTCTCCCAAGGTATGGATGGTGGGTTTGAGCCACTGACCTTCCAGTTAGCAGTTCAATGCTTAACCCACTGCAAAGAAATACAACCAGGAGCCCTAAAAAATCTTAAAAATAAGAAGACCCTCCTTTGAACCACAAGACCCTTTCCAAGGCCATGTTCATCCCCTAATCCTAGTGTCCCTCACATTGTCATCAAGTTGCTCAAACCAATATTACTTCCCTGTCCCCTTGCCACAGCATGCAGCATTTTCTTGCCTCTTTGGAAAACATTTTCTCCTATGACCTCTCAGACCCTTGGCCGCTGCCCCTCCTCAGCCAGCCTGTCCTACACAAACTCTCCCCACCCCCTCTCCTGGTAGCCTTTCAGCCTCTAACTTTAAGTACACCTGGGCGCTAGAGAGCCCAGTTGGTCCATCCTCTCTCCTAGGTCAAAACACTGACCCACTGGAACACCAGTAAATGGGTGTCTCACACAACATTCAAGACAGACTTCTTGGTAGCCAGATGCCTATAAAAAAATGGTTTTCTGCATCTTGAGGTTTAACACCCTCATATCCTGGGATAACAAAGTCAACTGACGTCACAAAGTGCATGTTCTGCATTCTAATGTGGAATCTGGGGTCTTAAAGGCATGTGAGCAGCCCCCTAAGAGGTAAAAATTGGTCTCTACTCATCAGAAACAAAAAGAAAGAAATCAAGTCTCAGAGAAGATACCAGTTTACAGGGCTAATTGCCATCATGGGCCACAGCCTCATCTATTCTGAGACTGGTGCCCAGTTGCCACTACTTACTACAATAAATGGGTCCTGACAGAACAGGAGAAAAACTCAGAGCAAAACGTAAATGCTTAAAAAAGTTTGCATTCACTGGGCCAGTTAAGATGTGAGGACTCACTGAGACTACGTTCTGAGATACTCTTTGAAACAAAAATGATCCTCTGAGGTCACCTATTATCAAAACAACAGATCCATGAGCACTGTGCTCCACTAAAAAGCCATCCGTGTGTGAACGAGAAGTCAGCAACTGCTCTAAATCAAAAATAAGAAGGGGGCAAGAAAACTAGAGTACTCAAAATGGAGTGAGTATGCAATGGAAAACGTAACTAATGTCACTGAAAAATTTGTGTTGTCAAATGGGAACCTAATTTGCTGTGTAAACTTTCACTGAAAACATAATAAAACATTATTTAAAAGGTGAAAAAAAGAAGATAGCTTTCTCATCTCTATACAACACAGCACCACAGCCAGTGGCTAACTCTACCCCTTAACCCACAGTCAATTGTTGGCAGGCTGAAACCACTCACCCTACCTGACCCCAGGTGCCACTGCTCATCTTGCCCCTCAGCCTCTCAAACACCCACTCTACTAAGCACTGAAGCCAGTGAGACCCTGGAGCCCTTATGTGTTTAGGAACAAAGATAAACTCAGACCTTTCTGAGTTCTGAAGAGACCTCAGCGCTCCTGCCAGTCTCCTGGCCCCTGCATGCACCTCCCATCACAGGGATCTACGTGTTTGCTAAGTGAAACCCTTACAACTTTCCATGTAGGGTCCTCTTCCTTCTCCAAGACGCCACTCTGAATCTCAGTGGTAACTACTGACTTCTAGTCTTTCATGCAGAGTCCTGGTGGCACCGTGGGTTCAGTGTTGGGCTACTAACTGGAAGGTCAGTGGTATGAACCCACAAGCTGCTCAAAGGAGGCAGATAAGGCTGGTCTACCCCCATAAACATTGACAGCCTTAGAAACCATATGGGGCAGTTCTACTCTATCCTACAGATAAGAGTAAGAGAGTCAATTCGATGACAGTGAGTTTTAAATTCTTCCTGGGGGGGTGGAGGGGGGTGTCCCTGGGAGTACAAACAGTGAATGTGCTGGGCTGAAAACTAAGAGGCTGGAGGTTCAAGTTCACCCAGCAAGAAAGGCCTGGCAATCTACTTCAGAAAAATCAGCCACTGAAAAGCCTCTGGGAGCACAGTTCTTGTGGTTTGGTTATTTCATAAGCATACAACCCAGTGTGCTGTACCACCCATGGACTTTACACACAGGCTTAGTGTCTGGCTGTGCCTTCCTGGGTGTGCCTCACATGTTCTGAATTTAACTCACGAGGAGCACAGCCCCCTGGACCGAGCCTTGAGAAGATCCTCCACCCTGTCCGATGGACTGTCTGTAAGCCCAGCAAGACACTCACAATTGAGACTTGTTGCTGTTGGGTCCCGAATTGGCCATGCTAAGGACACCCCGGCCCGTGTGCGAGAGGTTGGACCGGAACTCGTCTTTGAATGGCTTTCCCCAGAATGACTCACCACCTGCAAAGAAATGGAGCGCGTTAGCAGCAAAGAGGCGCCCCTTGGAAGGCCTTCTTGGGCATTACCTTTCCAAGTACACTGTGCCCAGCCTCTGTGCCCCTCTCAGCAAGCTCATATCTACTTCAGTGCTTTTTTGGAGCTGGCCCATTTTTGAGCATTTCTGAGGAAACTTATTCAACTTTGTCTTATATATTTTTTTAACTAAATGTTTTTATTTTGCATTGAGTGAAAGTTTACAGGGCACATCATCAGCTTCACATTCAACCATTCATATAGCTTGTTTCATTACATTGATTATTATCCCCGCTATATATCATCAGTTTACAGTGTTTCTTTCTATCCTCTTTAGCTTTTTTTTGGATGGGGGGGGACTTGCCTTTTTGGAATTTACAGTCTCGGCTTTTAGGGAACGTTTTTACATTTGTCTGTGGATATCCAGGGCTCATGTATGAGATTACTAACAAGCATTACGGAATAATCAGATGAGGGACAGTTTGCTATGTCTACTAGGTGGCTAGAGTCTGATCCTCAGAGCCTATGGTTTGGACGGTCAACAACACTTGGGCCCTCAGGGGCTTGGCCTCCTGACTGGGTCTGCACTGTCTGCATCTGAATCCTCCTTATTTATTGATTGTTTAAGGGACGCTGCCTGTCTTAGGTGGTCAGTGCGAATTCCTCAGTCTTACCAGTCATTGAGACTCATTGCAGCATGGCAATGGCTCTGTCTTAAGTAGCCGAGGTTCCACGTGATCCTTACCCGTCTCTGGCCACACGTCCAGCATAAACAGCCGCCATCCAAGGAAGATGGGGAGGGAGGAGATCAGCTGGGGACCCCATGCGCCCGTTGTTGCCGGCCTACCACCTGCTCTAAGGTGACCAAGCAGGATCACTATGCTGAGGTTCAATCAAGTTCTTAGGGGATCTTACTCTCTAGCAGGGGTAGCAAATTAGTAGCCACTCAGTGTTCACTTTGAGAATTACTTATATCATAAATTTGAGCATGTAGCTGATGAATATCCCCAGACAAGTGTATATTGTTCCACAACCTCCTAAAATGCTGTTGGATTAAGTTCCAATTAATTTCTGGGTTACTGAAAGATAACACAAATCTACTTATACCTTGAGTAACCTTAGCTGGGAGTGTAGTCTGGATATATTGGGTCTTATTTCCCTTATCAACTTTGTCTTAAAAACACTTCCCCAGTGAGGGCTTAGAAAGGGAGGAGGAGGAGGTGGGCAGCCCACACACTCCCGTCACATTCCAAACATGAGGTTTTGGTTCCCTAAAATTCAGTTTCATTTTAAAGTTCGTACCTGACCCAAGAGAACTCAGGGTAGAAATCAGATCTGCAGGACACAGTCCAGCCACAGAACCCTGGGCTTAGTTAGTCCTATGGTACACCAGGCCTCTGATGGTCAAGCAGGAGTAGGGCCCACAGCACACTGCTACAAACTGCCTAGCCCTGACCCTCACCTGAGAAAGAACTTACAGGGTTATAGCCACAGGTCACATGGGCCATGTAGCCAACAGGCAGAAGTGCACTTGTGAAGGAAGTGGTGGCCAACACCGTTGGCTTCAAGGTCTAGCCTCCCCAGGTGGCACCCTCAACCCCTTTTGGGGGGGCACTGTGCCCTACTGGTGGTGGCAGCCCCATACCCTTCCCCTGCAGCCTGGTTCCTCTGCCATCACCCAATGGCCTCAGACAGGGTGAAGGCTCTCCCTATTCTGTCACACAGAATGCCCTCCCCATCTGGGGGCCCGAGGCATTCCTGTGGAGACCCAACATCCGGGTCCTGTGGGGGTACAGCTGAAGGCAGAGGGAGCTAGGTGGAACCGATCTGGTCTCAGGAGAGGATCACTAGCCCCGGGGATGTGCGGGGGAGCTCAGCTAGTGGCAGAGTTGTGTCTGAACTAGATCTATGCCAACACATGCTTCACATTATACCCCTGCCCAGCCCCCCGTATACCTGACAGCAGCTCAAGTCACCCAAGGAGTAGAACCAACACCATGACTTACCCATACCAGTGCCAGTGGGGTCGCCCCCTTGGATCTGTCAGAAGAACACACATCCGTGAGCACATTCCACCTGCTCCCACTGCCCCTGGAGCTGCCATTCCACCAGTCAGAGCCCTCTTTCCTCCCAGAATGCCTACCACCCAGCCTCCAACCCTCAGGGCTGCCCACTATTCAGTCACCACTCCCTAGTCCCTCACCCAACCCTGGCATCTACATCCATGTCCCCTGACTGACTGAACTAGGAACCCAAGGAGTTCTTGGTGAGGATAGGGGCCCTCTTTTGTCTTGCCCTGGCTCTGCCCCATCCCACCTCTCACAGAGTACCTGGTCCCAAGTACATGTGCAGCCCAGTGACCCTGCAATGCTCACCACAAAGTTCCTGATGGACCTATGGAAGATGGTGCCATCATAGTAGTTCTTCTTGCAGAGACGGATAAAGTTCTCACAGGTCTTCGGCGTCTGCAAGACAGCGCGGAGACTTCTATGAGGCAGCAGCAGTAGAAGCACAGCTCCAGGTACTACCTGGCCCTCAACATGCCACAGAAGACAGCCACTGGCAGTCCTCAGAGCCCAGGCAGAGCTGAAGATGGCCAGGGGCACATGAAGCACAAGGAGGGACAGTAAGAATGCAACTACAGAACTACACACAGGAGTGGGCACACCTGTCCAGAAAAGGGCCACAGGAAATGCCCCAAACCACTAACCAAGCCCTAGGGAAAGAGGTAGGGAGTAGGCAGTCTGCCTTTCTGATCTGGACAGGCACACACTTCAATTCCATAAAGACAAAGTGGCTGCCAAATGACCAGAGAAAGCCCTCAGAGTGGGCAGGAGATGGGGCTGTGGCTCGGCCTCCCTAGGGCCCTATAGCTTTCCCTCCCCGGCACCAGCCTCCCACTCACCAGGTCGCAGTGAAGCTCTAGGTTGAGGCAGCCCCGGTTGGTGTGGAGCCGCACATAGCCCTTCTTCTTCACAAACTGGTAGCGCAGAACGTCTTCATCAATGGCAGCTGCAAACAGAGGGTCTGAGCTCCCTGGCCCACCTGTTACCCAGAGGCAACCCTACCTCATGGCCAAACAAGTTGCGGACCAGTTGATGTCTGGAAGAGCAAGGGGAGGGAACTCAAGGGTCCATCTGCATATGCTCAGCTGGGCCACATGGCACAGAATGCAAGGAGTCTATTGGCACAGCAGTTAAAGGGGCATCTGAGAGTTTGGAAAAGGGAGTGTTTGGCAATGGGGGTATTTAAAACTCAGATAACAGGGAACAGGAGGAAGTACACTTGAGGACAAAGCCAGGTGCTATAGCTGGTCATGGTGCCCATGGCAGCCTGAGCAGACCCAAGCACACCTGGGTTGGAGCCTGCATCTAGGAGGCCCCATCGGCAGAACAAGACACAAAGCCGACATTCAAAGAGGGCCTGTCTCACTACCCCCCTCCACCAATCGCCCTGGTATGTGCCCTTTGCTCCCACAGCCCACTCCACAGCACAGTTACCTGCTTCATGCGTAGTCTCAGGAGCCATGGCAGTGGAGGTGAAGGAGGCACTGACCTTCCCAGTGGAGTAGTGGGCCTGCAGGGAGAGCCCAGCACGTCAGTACCATGGCCAACACCCAGAGCTTGTGTAGCCCCTCAGGAAGATGCCTCCCTCAGCCAACTTACAGCATTCAGCTTGTCCACTTTCTTCTTCTCAGGGGTCTTCATGGTCGCCGCAAGCACCTCGTCCCCTTTGAACTCTTTGTAGAGCTCCTGCAGGGTCTCACGTGTCTCTGTGTTAGTGTTTTTCAGATAGTAGGACGGGTCCTGCTTGGCCTTTTCCTCATCTACAAAACAGCAGTCAAGTCCTGAGGAACTCACCTGGAAGCAAAGCTGATCACAACAGGATCTCCTGCTGTTGAGACCTTACCTGCCACAGTGTGTGGTGGCAGGTGCTCTGGAGGGAACGACATGTATTCCTTCTCTGGATTTATATGAGAGAATCCTCTTACATTATGCTTTCCATTTGTTATCTGAAGACTCATTTTCACTCAAAATAAGCTGTGTTTAGGGTCTTTCCAAATGTAGAATGCCTTCCCTGCTCACTCAGGGAGAGTTCGTGTTTGCCTTGTCCCTCCAACCCTTGAGGAGGCTGAGCCGCCCCATATCACGTCAAGACATGCACAGCTGGGTCATGCCAGGGCAGCCTAGCCAACCTCAGCATGGGGAGCCACAGCCCATTCTGGGAAGTTGAGGCCACACGTATCTGAGGGGATGCTCAGTGTTCTGGCCACCAGGAAGTCAAACTGGTCACTTAGTGTAGCTTGTGTATACGTACCTGGGTCTGTCATTTTCACATTGTTCTTTACATGGAAGAAGTTACAGACGTTAAACTTGTCCAAATTGGTGGGATCCTGCAGCAGAGGGGAGATGTGTAGCAAGTGAGCCTCGGCATGGCAGTGATGCCCAGATGGCAGTGGACAGAGGAGGAAGCTCCCCAAGGAGAGAGGTGTGAGAGCAAGTACAGGGGTCTGTCCTGGGCAGGCAGTGGAATGAGGTGGGGACAGTGGCACAGATTGTGTGCCTACTCCAGAACACAATTAGGGAGTCATGGGGCCCCAAATCCGGATTCCATGTTCCCTTCCCCCCGGCTACTGGAGTATGTCCTCCAGATGGTGAGTGCCCCTCATTCCAGAGGGTGTCTGTGCACAGGGTCTCACCCAACCCAGGGGCCCAGTCCATGCTCCTCCCAGTGCTTGAGTGCCTAAGTCAGTGTTCCTTGTCACTTTACTCCTGGTTAGCAGACACCCACAAGCACAGCTTGAGCTGAATGCAGGGCACAGAAGGGACTCCAGCCTTTGCGCAGTATACCAGGGCAGGGCCAGGCCTACCAAATAAGAGGCTGTGGGTCCACATGGTCCTGACACAGCTGGGGTGAGTGTCTGAGGAGGAGTGGATATGGGCCCGCATGTCTGAGGGTGGGGAGCTCAGTGGGGTCAGCCCTCTCTGGAAACAGCTGTTCTGGTGCAAAAAAAGGATACCCACCTGGAGGGTAATAATGTCTTGCCGGGAGAAGGGCTCATCAGTCAGTAAGTCCCGGAAGTTCTTGGCCTTAATATTCAACTGTTCCACTGCCTACGGATGGAGAAGTCTGCATTATAATGCCGCCCTGCCTTCAACACAGCAGCCTGGAAATGGGGAGGCCACCAGCCAGCCAGTTCGGGTGCCATGTGAGAGGTACGACTATGCACACACCCTGGACCTCCCAGCAGTGACCCCCACAAAACACACTGGGTAGGCAGACTTTACAGATCAGCAAACAGCTTTGTGAAGCAATACTGCCTCATCAGTCACCGTGTGCCAGGCCAGCATGGTGCTGTCACATCTTCCTCATAAATCACGATCCAGCCATGCTCTCTGCTGGGGGCTATCCCCAGACCACTCTGACCCCAAATACACAAGGGCTTTCTGGCTTCTCTTCTGTGAACATGCACTTCTAAGCTATCCTTTCCACAGTGCCCACCCCTCCACCCACAATGGCTCACATGCCACACCCCACACACAGGGGCAGCACTCCCAGCCAGCCCAGTTCTCTATAGGGCCTAGAAGATGACTGTGGGGAGGATCCTCTTGGGACCAGGGCCCCTAGTCAGCAGCCACTGCAGGATTTCTGCCTGGAGTCTGTAGGGTAAGCCCCCTTTGCTTTTCATATTGAGAAGGTGACAGCTGGCTCAAGCGGAGCTTTAGCCGAGTATTGTGCAATGAGCCCCCGGGGCAGGTCCTCTGTCCAGGCACATACTTGAGGAGATCCTTGGAACACACATCTGAACTGCTATTCACAAGCAGCTGCAGGTGCTGCACCCTGGAGCTGGACCCACCTCATAGGCATAAACGTTGCCAGTTGTTTGGATGGCCACAATGTGGGTGTTGTTGGTGAAGACAGTGAAAAGCACTGGGCAGTGGTATTTCCCTAGGAGAAGGTATAGTTAGTCCAGTCCATATCTCCACCTTGGGTTTCCAAAACCCAGATGAAGACTGCTGTAACTCAGGGCAGGTGAGAACTCAGTCTGAATCTGTGTGAAAGCCAGAGGCAGAATTCCTGTACCCATATGCCCAGGGTGGAGTACCAGAGGGACAACCAGTGGGACAACTCCTATTCATCCTGCAAAACTCAGCCCTGCATCTTCTAACTAGGAGGTATCTGTTTGGTCTGCCCCCAGTTCAGGCCTCAGTGATCACTGCCCCCAGCCTCCTCCTCTTGAAGTTTTGCCCACCTCACAAAACATGTAACTATCCTTCCAGGGACTCATTCTAGAACATTCTTTCTACCTCTCACACCCACAGTCAACCCAATAAGCAAACCTGTCAGCCCTTCCTATAGGAAAGACTAGAACCTGCCACTTCTATCACACACCCCCACCTCCCAGTCAGGTCCCATCCATACCACCTGTTAGCTGCTCTAGTCCTGCCTCTGACCCTGCAACCAAGGACCCTGTGTCAATGCGGGATCCCAACAAACAAAAAAGGGAAAGGAGTGAGATCTTACAAATTTTTTCTTCAGTAAGAATTTGATAAATTAAGAGGCATTAGCATTGTGTGCATGCACATGAACTGTTTAAATCCTGATTTGAAAAGTCCAAAAAATTATAATCACATTAATTTGAACATGTTTTGTGTAAGTGACAACCATAAGGAATTCCTATTTATTTCTTTAGGTGCGTTAACCTTGTTATTATTTTTAAGTCTTTGGAGTCTCCAAATGTTGCAAACAATCAGCACGCTCAGTTGCTAATTGAAAGGTTAAAGGTTTAAGTCAACTCAGAGGTGCTTAGGAAGAAAGGCCTGATTACCTACTTCTGGTAACAGTCATTGAAAACCCTATGAAGTGCAGTTTTACTCTGACACGTAAGGAGTTACTATGAATTGGAGTCAATTCAATAGTGCTGGGTACAGGTATCTTTTAGACACACTTCCTGAAGTACTAAAGATAAACAGAGAAAAGACTGAAGTTGTCAAGGATTTCATTTTACTTGGATCCACAGCCAACACACATGAAAGCAGTAGTTAGGAAGTAAAAGTAGATTAATTTACTGCAAAAGACCTGTCTTATAGTATTAAAAAGTAAAGATGTCACTTTGAGGACTAAGATGTGCTTGATCCAAGCCAGTGTATTTTCAGTCACCTCATATGCAAGCAGAAGCTGGACAGTGAATAAGGAAGTTGGAAGAACTGATGCCTTTAAATTATGGTGCTGATGAAAAATATTGAATATACCATGAACTGTCAAAAGAACACACAAATTTGTCTTGGAAGAAGTACGGGAAGAATGCTCCTTAAAAGCAAGTATGCAGAGACTACCTCCCTTTCTCCCTCAGATCTCTGCTCCATGTAGCTCTTTTGCTTGCTTTCCTTTTGCCCCTGACAGTCAGCAGCTAACATAACAATGTGGTATATCTTGTGGTCCCCCTGTAGCATCCCCACCTAACCAGATGGTAAGGACTCTGCCTATCTTGCTCTATGCTCATGGTAGTGCTCAATGAATATCTGTGGGAGATGCCCTCCCAGAGATTCCTGGGACAAAGGAAGCACACGGCTTCTTTATCAAAGCTCACACACTTCTTCACCTTGAGCCCCTTGCCTCCTGAGGTTGAAGTCAGACAGGGTCCAGCACAAAACTTCAACATTACCCAAAACATTCACTTTCAAGACCACAGTCAGCTTCCTAACCCACGGACCAAGTAAAGCTGGGCACTTTCAGGCAGAAGCTAACAGAATTGGGTATCCTTTGAGCATTTATCAGCAGCATGAAGGAGCTTCTAAGACTGGCCTATGCAGGGCAGAAACCGAAGGGCTTTGTGGTTGAGGCTGAGGACAAGAGGGAGGAAGTAGAGCAGAGAAGTATTCCTGACCAAAGTATTGTTGCATCCTGAGTTGTTTCTGATCCTGAACTACCTAATAAATGTGAGAATTGTCTGTCACTTCTGCTTGGCCATTGCTACAGATGATCAAATACAGCAGAAAAATAGAGTGCCAGAGGGGAGGGTTGGTATTAGAATAGAGTAAGAAGGTTGGAGGGTCTCTGTCTGATCTCTGTCTCATAGGCATAAGCCTTGGGCTGATGTGGACTTTCATTCTCCTTCCACATTGTGAAGCCAGAGCAAGTAAGACATGGCCCCCATGTCATTTTTGCACCCACACGAAGTCCAACTGTGCCCACAACGGAAGAAGCCCCAAGGGTTTAGTGCCCACTCACCCCAACTTTAAATCATTCTTCTGGATCGTTCAGAAGAAACCATGCTATGGTTATTTTTCTTGAAAAACGAAAACCAAGTGATCAGAAATGAGTGAATGGGAGAACAAACAAAAAGGCGAATCAAGTGGAAATGCAGGGAGGAGCTACGCTGGCAACCACACAGAATACAGGACCAAGCACGCTCAGGGGATGGTACCAGAACTCTGAACCACATATAAAGGAATATTTAGGTTGGAAGACTTACAACTGGGGGAGTTTGTGGCAGAAGCAAGAAATCCATTGCTTTCTGGTTCAGGATGCTCAGATGCTCCAGGAGCTGCAATCTTGTGTGGGGCCAAGCGGGGAAAGGATCAGAGCAGCCACAGACGTCTGACAGAACCGTGGAGATAGAGGTGTGGACATTCTTCTTTTTTCTGGTATCTGTTTGTTGGTCCATTGCTGTCTGTGTACCTCCATTCTGGTGACTATAGGGGTGCCTGAGCTAGCGGCCACCCCAGCCCCACCCTTGGAGGGTTCTACTACGCATGTGCAGAGATCTCCTCGAAATTTAAAGAGACAGTTTCCACTTAAAACCAAATGGCCGACAGATACTCAGCCCAAGAGCAGACCCTGAACTTTTCTTGTTTGTTTTTTGTTCTGTTTTTTAACATGGGAAAGAGAAGGAGAGGGCTGTAGGGAGGGAAAGAGAGTTTAAAAGCAAAACAAGCCGAAGGGTGGTTTGGAGCCTGAGGTGTAGCATAACAACAAACACTGGCATCTTGGAATCTGTCGGGCAGCTTTGAAGGCAGGAAGCTGAAGAGAGGACATTAAAGTCATACTCAAATTAGGCTACAGATTTTTTTTTTTCCTTCTTTTTCTTCTCTCCTTCCTCTCCCTTTTCTGTGATTTGAACTGCAATATCAGTCTTGTTTTTATTGTTGCTGTTTTTTAGTCTTTTTTGTTTCTTTTTGCTGGTGTTGTTTTGCTGCTTTATGCCCCCCCCCCCCAACCTTCTGCCTTTGAAGAACTCTTTGTCTTCCTATATTACACAAGAAGAGTCAGCAACTGCTGCCATATAGCCAAGCTACAATCA